ACGATTAACTTAAAAATCATAAACTCAAACCAAAAAACCCAGATTTTTTGCATCGCATCAAACTCAAACTTACCTTCAGTTCCTGGTTTTTTCTTCCACCACGTCCCGATTTGCGAGCGGGAGTTGAAGTCTTGCTTTCATTTCTGTTCGATTTTGAAGCCATTGTTTTGATTTCTGAGAATCGAGAGAGAAATGATAGGATTTCGCCGGATTTCTTTGAACGGGAGAGAGAGAGAGAAGCAATTTCGAAATTTGTCTCGAAAAAGACTAAGTTACAGTGTCGATTGGGGAAGATTAACCGTCTTTCCCTTCCTATTGCGCCACGTATCGTTTTTTATAAGGTCTTTTATGTCTTTTACTCGTTTTCTTTTTTTTTTTGAAATTCTAGGGTTTCGAAGGGTATGGCGTGAAGTCATTGTAGCAAACCAGGGGTATTTATGCTATTCTTCCTTTTCAATGGGTCCTATGTTCTGGTGTAGTCGCGCACACGATACGATAATGGACGCTCACCCGTAAATTAATCTGATCCGTATATTAATCGAGCACATGGCGACTATTAACTACTTTCTAGTATGTTTTCACTAGATAACTTAATTTAAAAATGTAAAGTAAAATTTAAATAATTTATTTGATTTAGAGAATTTAAATAAATTTAAATTTTAAAAATATTGTATAAGTTCACATATATAGTGATCTATTTGTATATTTTCAAATATTCAGAATGGTTTAGTCAATTTTGTCCTTAGTTTTTTTATAGTTATGTATATTTTGTTATTTATTTTCAATTTTATAGAGTTAAATGTTAGAAAGATATAGAGTTTGAAAATAATCTATCAATGGACAACATGATCGGTTAAAATTTATATAATTAATTGATTAAATCTCTACCAAAAAATTTGTTAATTTGGATAGAGTTCTCTATGAATTTGATTTATCAAATTAAATTTTAGATACGTAAAACATTTGTTTTTTTTTAGTTTTTTAAAAGAACGATTATCATTATTATTATTTTTTTGCACTAAATATTATAAAAACTTAAAAAAATACTTTATACGGAGAATATATTTGTTACTAATAACTAATGTTTGCACTTTTTCTATACTTTTTTTTCTTCCCTAATTTTTTGTGTATATACATATACACTTTTCGGGCAAAACTTTTATTTTGGTTTAAAATTTTATTTCCCAACTAAAAGCTCATATTAATTTAAGATTTGTATTTTATTGAATAAAAAAACAAAATGTGTTAATTGATGTTGAAAATTTGAAACTTCGACTATAAAATAATTAAAATAAAAAAAATGTGTTAAAAAGAAAAAAGAATAATTTAAAGAAAAACAAATAGCCGCCAATTCATATATATTTTAGGGCTTTTTTGAAATTTGAACTGAAAAATAAATTTCTGTTTTTTTTGACCGAAACAAATGTAAAATCCGAGGTAAAAAAGACCGTGTGTCTAGATTCAGATAATTTTCAGTTCTGGTCGTATCTATAAAGACCTCTATTCATATCAGCGCACAACCAATCATTTAGATCTCAATTTCATCTCTTCTCTTCTTTAAATTCTTGTCTTTAACCCTAAATCAAATGTTTTTCTCCTTTCCTTAAAGAAACTCACTTTTGCCCTTCTCTTCTCTCTGTCGCCGCGTTAATAATGGTCCTCGACAGAACCAATAATGATGTTTTCCTCGATCTCTCCTTGTCCCTGGGTCCCACAAGGCGACCCTCCACCCCGAGTTTGCCGTCCGTACAACCGGTGACCGGCGACCACCGCCAGCATTTCATGCAACTTCTGATGTCATCGCCGCCTCTGCCGCCATCTCCGGCGGCCGCTGGGCCACCGCAACTGTCTCTATCCGTCCCACCGGTGAACCTCCACCAATCCGCTCCCCAACCCATTATGGGTCTCGTTGACCACAGTTTCATCGGCTCTTGGAACGTGGCGGCTGCGGTGGCTCAGCCATGGTCGGTGGGACCACCGGGAGCAATCTCAGGATGGGTGACCTACTGGGAAGTGTCTCGGTTCTTTAAATTCTTGTCTTTAACCCTAAATCAAATGTTTTTCTCCTTTCCTTAAAGAAACTCACTTTTGCCCTTCTCTTCTCTCTGTCGCCGCGTTAATAATGGTCCTCGACAGAACCAATAATGATGTTTTCCTCGATCTCTCCTTGTCCCTGGGTCCCACAAGGCGACCCTCCACCCCGAGTTTGCCGTCCGTACAACCGGTGACCGGCGACCACCGCCAGCATTTCATGCAACTTCTGATGTCATCGCCGCCTCTGCCGCCATCTCCGGCGGCCGCTGGGCCACCGCAACTGTCTCTATCCGTCCCACCGGTGAACCTCCACCAATCCGCTCCCCAACCCATTATGGGTCTCGTTGACCACAGTTTCATCGGCTCTTGGAACGTGGCGGCTGCGGTGGCTCAGCCATGGTCGGTGGGACCACCGCCACTGGTTGCGCCGTCTCTTGATCTCCCTCCTCATCCGGTGGCCAACGTGCCTTCCCACCAGGCCGTAAGTGTTCCTAGGAACACACGTGGGCCAGGACGTCCCGCTGCGGCTGGTGAGCCCCATCAGATCCGCAGGAGATCGTCGGCCATTTCAGGTGAGGCCGAGGAAGGAGTCGAGGAGGAAATCCCGGCGCCGTACCCGTGGGCCACCACTAGGCCAGCCAAGGTCCACGCCATGAGAGACTTGGTCTCCAACGGTATCAACTTGATCTCGGGCCAAGTCCAGTGCAAACGGTGCGAGAAGGTTGTCACCATCCATTACAATCTCAGGGAGAAGTTTGTGGAAATTTTCAGATACATAGTAGAGAACAAGGAGAGATTACGTGACCGTGCTCCGAGCCAGTGGATGAGCCCTCGGCTTCCGCCATGCGAGACCTGCGAATCGGGGATGAAGCCGGTGATGAGGGAGAAGAAAGAAGAGATCAACTGGCTGTTTCTGCTGCTAGGGCAAATGCTGGGATGCTGCACGTTGGAGCAGCTCAGGTATTTTTGCGACAAGTCCAAGATACATCGGACGGGGGCTAAAGATCGAGTCTTGTATCTCACGTATCTCGCTCTCTGCAAACAGCTGGATCCGTCCGGACCATTTGATCGGTGAGTTACCAGATCTGCTCATATGGTGACTACAGGTTGTGACTTTTTAGGGTTTTAATGTGTTGTTTTGATTAGGGTTTTTATCGACCGTATCGTTTTATATAATATCTATCGTCTTTTGTGATCTTGTTGAACGACCGGTTCAACAATTAATGTTAGTCGCAACCTGCTGTACATGCAAGAGTTGTTGCTTGGTTTAATTAATTATTCGCTTCATTTGCATTTCTTAATGAACTCTTGGTCTTTTTTTATTTATTTATTCGTATGCCATAAAAATGGCTTATTATGAGTCGTGATTAGTTATTCTCTCTCCCTATATCCCTCATGGTAACGTTACTGTGATGCGTAATGGGAAATACTTATATCCCTAATTATAACAAAAATAATACTTATTTATCCCTAAAAGCAATTGTTCACAAAATTGGCCCTATATGTCATATGATACCTACAAAATAAACCTAATTGGTATCTACATACATGATATTCACATTCCTGATTCGAGTTTCATTCCGGAGATATATATATATACAAGCAGAAAAACATATAAATATGCAAGTTTTATTGGCAACCCTTTGCATATATAAGCACATATATGGACGTATACATATACAAGTTCTGATAGATTATATAAATATTGAGTTCCACATATCACCTATGTAGAATAATGTTAATTGTTGTTATATATATATATATATATATGTTTCACGGCGCCGGTGTAAAATTCAAGCTGGAAATAGAAAGCTAGAAACCAATTCACGTAGAGACATACACATACGTCCTCGCTGTCTTTATAAAAAATCATCAAATCTTCTTTCTATCCATTTTTCCTTTCATGGTTAAAATAATTAGCGTTGTGAACAAATATCCAGAAAAAGATTGAGTACCGAACCTCTGTTGCTTTCCAGTTTTAGGAAGTATCATTTATTAGCCATTACACACACACACGCACATATATATATATCCCTTCTAAATGGCCTCTTAACTCACAATATCATCAAATAGCTTTTCTCTCTAATTACTCTCTTAATCCTCGTTTCATAAACTAATCTTGATTACTAACCCAAGATGGCGTTCGATGGAGTGGAAGCAGGCACGGTCACGTCTCAGCAGCCAGACCGCAGCCGAAGATTATATGCCACCGCTTGTGCCGTCTTGGCCTCCATGTCTTCGATCGTTCTCGGCTACGGTCAGTCCACTTTCTTTATTTTCGTATCAGCGATATTGTGTATATATATCGATATGTAAACTCTTCATAATTCTCAATACAATTGTTGTTTTGGATGGTTTTAGATATCGGTGTGGTGAGTGGAGCTTCTATCTTCATACAAGACGATCTGAAACTCTCGGATTTGCAACTTGAGATCTTTATGGGAATCCTAAACCTATACTCCATCGTGGGTTCGGGTTTGGCCGGAAGAACGTCGGATTGGATCGGGAGAAGGTACACCATAGTGCTGGCCGGATGCTTCTTCATAGCCGGAGCCCTCCTCATGGGATTTGCCACCAACTACCCTTTCATAATGGTTGGTCGCTTCGTGGCCGGCATTGGTGTCGGTTATGGCATGATGATCGCTCCCGTCTACACCACGGAAGTCGCCCCCGCCTCTTCCCGGGGATTCCTCAGCTCTTTCCCCGAGGTTCATATGAAAGAAAACCGCTTTAACAACGAATCACATTGAGCAAGATTTCTTGCCTGACACTCGGAACGTTTTTTGTGCAGATCTTCATCAACATCGGTATTCTACTCGGATATGTCTCGAATTTCTTCTTCGCCCAGCTACCCGAGCATTTGGGATGGAGGTTTATGTTGGGGATCGGAGCCGTCCCGGCCGTGTTTTTAGCCCTTGGAGTCTTGGCAATGCCCGAGTCCCCTCGGTGGCTCGTCATGCAGGGTCGTCTTGGTGACGCCATGAAAGTCCTCGAGAAGACCTCCGATACCAATGACGAAGCCATCTTGAGACTTGATGAAATCAAAACCGCTGTCGGGATCCCAGCAGAAATGAAAGGAGACGTCATAACGGTTCCGGACAAGAAGAGCCACGGAGAAGGTGTCTGGAGGGACCTCCTCATCAAGCCCACCCCAGTTGTTCGCCACATCCTCATCGCCTGTCTTGGCATCCACTTCTTCCAGCAAGCCTCCGGAATCGACGCCGTCGTTCTTTACTCTCCCACCATCTTCGCGAAAGCCGGGATGAAATCCAAGCACGATCAGCTTCTTGCAACAGTGGCAGTAGGGCTCGTCAAGACGCTCTTGGACTGGCTGAGCACGACAACACACCTGGTCCGGCTGACCAAATTTAGTCATCCGGACCAGGCCTTCTCTTTCGTCGGGTCAGGCTTGGCTCAGCGCTGGGGACGGACTTGTGTGGCAATCTCCTGGTCCGCCGGACCAGAGTTGGTCAGGGGCGGGCCAGATGAACTGTTTTCTCCGATTCTCACCGAATTTGTGCGTTATGCCCTCGGGGTCCTGCCAAAGTCAAGAAATAGTCCCGAAACCCTAGAATGGCTCTAAAAATGCCTAAGAATGTGTGGAAACCGTTTAGAAACCAAAGGCATACAATATCTCGAGGGAAGAGAAGAAGAAGAAGAAGAGGGTTTGAGCTAACATCCGTGGAAGTGTTTGGTATCTGCTCTGGCTCTCTCATGGAGATTGAATTTGGAGATGAAACTGTCATCTGAGAGCTTTTCGTGGTGGCAATTGCTCCAAGCAAAGGTGTAAGATGCGAAATCTCGAGCTCGAGAAAGCAAGACGAGACAAATAGAGAAACAGTGGTTTGTCGATACGAATGGCGGAAACAATGCCTCGATTGGAAAATACGATTTGCGGAAAGCAACGAAAAGGGTGTCTTCTTCTGGTCTCATTGAGCAGAGAAGCAGTCGTTTTGGGAGCTTGAGGTGGTGAATTCGGTATCCAATTCAGTCCCAAAATGGTTAGTAGATTCTCATGTTTTTGCTTACTATTATTATCGGGTCATCGCCTTGATGAATACAAAATCTGCTTCTGATCAAATCTGGATATTCACTGGTCTGGCGGATAACTCCTGCAGGATCAGGTGTTCAACCGAGCAAATTACTAACAAAACAAATTGGCTCGTTCTAACCCCAGCTCTATACAATATGGATAAGTAGAATCTCAAATACCTATCATTTTGATATTTAAAACTCGTTTCACCGGTTGAGCTACTCAACCGGTGAAACGAGTATGCAAATCATTTGTTCCGCCCGAGTTTGAGTCTCAAAATGAAAAGGCAAGTGTAATTTCAATCGCATGTTTTGCTTTCGATCCCAAAATTAGTTTGGATTTCGGCTCTGAATTATCCAAAAAAACCATAGATTTGCATTCGATTTTTTTCGAAACATGATGGCTTATCATGATACCCCGAATAGCAATCAAATTTATTAAATATTTTGTATTTTCTTTAAAATTATAAAAACCATGGTTTTCGTCAAATCGAATTTACTCTCTCCCCATTTCGAAAACTTTATTCTCTGCAGATTCATCGTTGATCTTGGTTTTTCATCGATTTCGAAATCCATTGATAATCTCTCTCAAAATTTCTATGTTTTCGTTGTTGATCTCATTCATCATCTGTTTCGAGGCGAATTGATTGCCAATTCTTTTGATATCTTATCTCTTCTCGCTTCTCTGAAATTTCGATTCGGGTTATGATAACAGATTTTTTTTTACGGAAATTCCAAAATCTCGGATTTGAATATCGGTGGATACCCGACCTTTAGTCTGGATATCGTGGATATTGAATCGCAGTTACCCGACCCTACAGTACTGAGACCGGGTTGGTACATTTATGTGTCCAAAGGAGACAAGGTTATTGTCAAATTTTTTCTATAGATTATAAGGTTTTATCAATGACATTCGACTATTAATTGACATCTTTAAGTCTTGTACGTTCAGATTAATTCTCGTTCACACCCAACACTTGGTGGCCCAATGGATGAGAGATGATAAAATCATCTTCAAAGTTTTAGGTTCGATTCCATTGGTGGAGATGGATATAATTTCTAGATCAAGATGGTTCATATACAAAGGTTTGTCTCGGACTTCGGGTGGAAGTAGTCGGATCGAAGATCTGGAAAACCATCCTGGTTATAAAAAAAAAATGTCGTAAATGAGTTCACTGAATGATAAAGGCTTAACCTTAAACATTGCTCATCGCAGAGTTCAAATTCCTGATTTCTAGTTAACATCTATGTCAATCCTTCAGTTTGGGTGACATCATGTCCGTCCCCAACGTTCTAAATCTTTATAAAAAATGAACCATTTATGAATAAAATATTTTCTATTAAATATCTTGTTAGAATAAATAATTTTTATAATGTAAGGATAATTTCAACAATTATGGAAACAATATAACATTTTCGTATGTTTCTCAAGCACAAAATCCTAAAAGCTAAGATATTTTCTATTAAATAATTTTGTTAGGTTAAATCATTTTTATAATTCAAGGATAATGTTTTTCTATGTTCCTCTCAATAACAAAATCCACTGAAGATAATTCCATATTTATAAGGAAAAAAATCAAACTTTTTCGGGGTTAGTATTTAATGTGTTATGATTTTCATAAATATCATTATCCCATATATATATAGGGGGTGAGATCCGGGCCGGGGGAAACTTGGTATTAAATTTCCTTTTATAATAAAGAGTATTTTACTGAATTTAGATTACAGAAATCCCAAGTGTGATAAATAATTGGTCCAGCGTATCAAAACGAATTGTAATATTAAGCAACAAAATCAAGCTTGAAATGGAAACTTACGTATACCCTCACCACGGTCAAATGTGATAAGGAAACTTACGTATATCCCATAATCATCAGATCCTATTTCTATACACTTTCCTTTTCATTGTTGAAATATATTGACTGAAAATATCTCTTATAGCAAAGCAAAGATGCAGAAAAAGGATTTATATACGTATATATATATATATATATGTGTGTGTGTGTGTGTCTTATCTCAAAAGATCATCAAATAGCTTATCTCTCTTATCCTCTATTAATCCTCGTTCCATAAACTAATCTTGACCACTGACAGAAGATGGCGTTCGATGGAGTGGAAACAGGCACGGTCACGTCTCAGAAACCAGACCGCAGCCGAAGACTATATGCCACCGCTTGTGCCGTCTTGGCCTCCATGTCTTCGATCGTTCTCGGCTACGGTCAGTCCACTTTCTTTATTTTCGTATCAGCGATATTGTGTATATATATCGATATGTAAACTCTTCATAATTCTCAATACAATTGTTGTTTTGGATGGTTTTAGATATCGGTGTGGTGAGTGGAGCTTCTATCTTCATAAAAGACGATCTGAAACTCTCGGATTTGCAGCTCGAAATCTTTATGGGAATCCTAAACGTATACTCCATCGTGGGTTCGGGTTTGGCCGGAAGAACGTCGGATTGGATCGGGAGAAGGTACACCATAGTGCTGGCCGGATGCTTCTTCATAGCCGGAGCCCTCCTCATGGGATTTGCCACCAACTATCCTTTCATAATGGTCGGTCGCTTCGTCGCCGGCATTGGTGTCGGTTATGGCATGATGATCGCTCCCGTCTACACCACGGAAGTCGCCCCCGCCTCTTCCCGGGGCTTCCTCAGCTCTTTCCCCGAGGTTCATATGAAAGAAAACCGCTTTAACAACGAATCACATTGAGCAAGATTTCTTGCCTGACACTCGGAACGTTTTTTGTGCAGATCTTCATCAACATCGGTATTCTACTCGGATATGTCTCGAATTTCTTCTTCGCCAAGCTACCCGAGCATTTGGGATGGAGGTTTATGTTGGGGATCGGAGCCGTCCCGGCCGTGTTTTTAGCCCTTGGAGTCTTGGCAATGCCCGAGTCCCCTCGGTGGCTCGTCATGCAGGGTCGTCTTGGTGACGCCATGAAAGTCCTCGAGAAGACCTCCGATACCAATGACGAAGCCATCTTGAGACTTGATGAAATCAAAACCGCTGTCGGGATCCCAGCAGAAATGAAAGGAGACGTCATAACGGTTCCGGACAAGAAGAGCCACGGAGAAGGTGTCTGGAGGGACCTCCTCATCAAGCCCACCCCAGTTGTTCGCCACATCCTCATCGCCTGTCTTGGCATCCACTTCTTCCAGCAAGCCTCCGGAATCGACGCCGTCGTTCTTTACTCTCCCACCATCTTCGCGAAAGCCGGGATGAAATCCAAGCACGATCAGCTTCTTGCAACAGTGGCAGTAGGGCTCGTCAAGACGCTCTATAAAATTATAGAGTTGTGTCCTCCTGCTTCTGAGCAGTATGGGGGGCATGTTCGTGTCCTTGGCCGCACTCGGGTCGAGCCTCACAGTCATCAACCGCAACGAGGGCCGAAACATCGGGTGGGCAATCAAGCTGAGCGTGACGACCGTGATGACGTTCGTGGCTACGTTCTCGCTCGGGGCAGGACCAGTGACATGGGTCTACTGTTCGGAGATCTTCCCGGTCAGGCTTAGGGCACAAGGCGCTGGCCTAGGAGTGATGTTGAACAGACTAATCAGCGGAACCATCGGGATGACTTTCCTCTCTCTCACTCACGCCCTCACCATAGGAGGAGCGTTCTTGCTCTTCGCAGGCGTCGCCTTGGTGGCGTGGCTCTTCTTCTTCATTGTTTTGCCGGAGACTCGAGGAAAGCCTCTGGAGGAAATAGAGAATCTCTTCGGGAGCTACACCGCCAAGAAGAAGAATGATGCCGCCGTCCAAGAAATCGGCGACGGGCGGTGATGAGATAAAACGCTTCTATTTTTAATTTAATGTTTCTGCGAGAAATTAAAACGCCATTTGTATCCGAATGCGTTTTTTGCAAGACATGAGGAGAAAATTGGCGAAAATTTTCCTTATATCCGCTGAATATGTCAGATCTGATTATTTTTTCTATTATAAGATTTTATTTCATTTCTATGGGTAGTGTAATCCTAAACTTGAATATTATACTCTATTCGAATATTTAATATGGTATAAAGAATATTGTTGGGGACGTTACAGGTTTAGGGTTACATTACTTAGGGTTGGAGAATTTAAAACTTTTAAGGGTATCGACACCTTAAGTTTGAAAAATGAAAAAAAAAATATGGGTTGAAGTTCATCAAAATAATCCAAAATTATTGAAAAAATATACGAGATACTATGAAATCTTAATTACATAATATAAATTTGTAAAATTGAAATAATAAAATTTTGTAAAATGAAAATAATATTATGAAATCTTTTCATATCTCTCGCAAAAATTCGAATCTCTCCGTATCCGTCGCACATGTGGATCGGTATGTTTATTTCCTTCTAGATCGAAGGTTTTAAAATTTGACGGTTATAGTGCATCATTCAGTTCCGATCTCATAGTTGGGGTATATCCGAACTTTGCGTATCCAAAAAAAAATGCGGTGAGGATTCGAATACTCCAGACCCACAAAAAAAATGAAAAATAATTATCTATCTATAAATCTGTTTAAATTTAATTTCGAATATTTTATTACATTAATTTAATTAAGACTAATATATAACTAAATTAATAAATATAGTACTTTTTAGTAGATATGTTTATAAAAGAAGAAGAAAAAAAAATCGAGAAATAAATGTGTTACCAAACAGTTAGAAAACTTGGATGCAATCGAGACGCATATATATAATAAGCCTCTTTATATTATTTTATCCGTAAGTTGTTACAGATCTTGAGAGTTTGAGACCAAATGGTTTCTATTCTAAGAACATGTTGGGGGGATGGAGATCCATCAACTAACGACACCCCCCCCCCCCCCCCC